TAATTTATTTTTACATATTCAAAATAGTTTCTCCCGCCAGGTTGATCATAGCAAAACTTACTTTAAAAACAACATTGATCCTTTTCAATAATGTGGTATTATCCAAAACTTGACTTAAAACCCTTAAAAAATGATTTATTTTTTAAATTCATTTTAACACTTGCTTGGTAACAATATAAATATTTAGATTTTTGATCATCCTTTACTTCTGTTTTCTTGCTCCTACAAATTGATTCTTGTGGATCCCACCAGCCCCTCACATCCATCACCACTATTAACTGGAACAAGTGTGATCAAAGCAAAAACATCGCCAGCAGCTGTCGTCCAATGTCTAACTGATCTGAGAAATATGATGACCAGCAGCCGGACCTGATGATGTGCACAACAACTGACTGCATCTGGACAGTGGCATGACGACTGTGACACAAAGCTCGGCTTTGGGGAAATCCCTCAAAGTTGATGGTTGCAAGCTTCATTTTTCCACAATGGGAGCTATGTGTGATCTGCAAGCTCATACGGCTTTTGAGTTTGGTGGACCACCTAGTATCACGTCGCAGGCCAAATTGATCTGTAACGAGAGGTTCCTAGTTAAATTCTTAAGGCAGAACCATGAAGTAAAAGGGACAAAGCAAGGAGGTCATAGAAATCCAAGACTGGATTTGGAAAGCCTCATGGTCTTTGTTTTCAAACAGCTCTGTAAGAGAAGCTGTCAGTGAAAACAGTTTGGAAAAGAGCAGACACTTCCATAAAATACTTGGCAGGAACAATCTATCTGTTGAAGTTTATCATGAGAAAACTTTAACTGACTGAAGTTGCTCCTAAGAAAGAGTAACTCTTGGCGACTCACGTCAATAAGAGAACTAAAAACATGTTTCCCGCTATGAAGAGCGCGGCGTTGTTTTTGCCACTAGTCGTCCAACTACACATAGCTCGCAGGATCAGAACCGACTCATTCGGGACTTGAGAAATATCTGTAGTTGCCAAAATTGGACACGGAATGATCCAAAGTATCTTAGCAGCCACCAACTTATTACAGCCAACTCGGAAAGATACAATTTTATGCAGTTGGAATTTCCTGAATTTTACAAGAATGTATCCGAGTCAAAAGCCCAGGATTTGGTGTCACTAACTCAAAAATACTGAGGCTGAGCCTCGGATTCAGTGTTTGGATTTCGGTACAGTCCTGAAATCCATCTCAGTCTGGCTCTGCTGCTGACAAGTTGCAGTACCAGCAATGAAAACAGAGTAATTATCGTGAGCAGGAGTCAGGACTCTTTCCTAATCCTTCAACGCTCTAGTTTCCTTACAAACAAAGCGTTTTTGATTCTTTATGCGTTGCTTGCCTACTCTGTTGCCAAGATCAACTGATTTGGACTGAGGTGTGTAAACAAAATGTGTGCCTTCCTACCCACTGACAAAATAATACAGAGATGTCTGGACACTGTCAAAGTTATAAAAGCAAGCTAACATATTAATAATCTGTTCCCTTTTTATCTCTAAACCTAGAAGATGATATTAAAAAGAGTATCTAGTAATGAAAAAGACAAGACCATTTGCAAGGAGAAAAGAAACCCTCGGTCGTCTCAACCTACAGGGCTACGAATCATCTAAATGTTGCAGCTGTGCACCCTGTTCCTCCTCACCGAATGAGAAGAGACAGGGCGTCCAGCATTCGTCTGACATCAGAATACAAAGTACAGAAAGACGGAAAGTCACAACAAATAGACAAAAGTGTGGCATGTATCGTTTCTGCAGTATATACTTGGAGAAACAATTACACTTTCTCCCAAGCGGCTATTTAGAGTAAGGGCACAATGCTTGAACCCACATCCTTCATTATTATCTTATACTGGCAACTTTTTAAGCACCCTGACTTAATGTGTCAATTCAAAGTCTATTGGAGTGTAAAAAAAATAATAATGAGGTAAAAAATAAGAGGTGGTCTTGGTAGGTAGACAGGACAGTAGACGATTCCTGCCATCCTGCCTTCCTGTAAACTGTTAGCATGAAATACTAATTGGAGAAACAGGGAAGTGAAAGAAAGAAGATCTGAAACATTATTATGCTCCAGCATATAAAAATCAATCAGAGAAGTCCGGCAAGTATTTCAGAAAGGAACTAAATCTCCTTGTTTGTGCTGGTTTTCTGCCACAAAAGACAACCACGTCTCTTGAGTAGTAAAGCAGAGGAGCAGGTGGGCAGACAGACATTCAAACAGACAGGTATGAACTCAGATGGGAACTTCCACAGGACAACAGATCCAGACAACGAGGCACAAAGGCCGGCATGCGAGGTAGTAGCCCGCAGACAGAAGAAGACTGTTTTGTAGCGAGAACGCGTGTTTGTTTGGCCGGTATTACACTGAAAATACGTAGTGGTATCCACAGCAACGTGGCTTTGGCATTTTCAGTGCTGTTGGAAAGAGCCACGAGTCAGAAGAGGAGCAGCCAACGAGTGAATGCTGGGATTCACACTGTACAGCGAGAGACACCAAGTCTACAAGGGAATATTCGCATGGGTCATATAGACATTTCCCTCAGCAGTAGATCAACATTTAACTTCTGATTTAAACCGCACATCATCACTCTAGAGTTTAGGAGACTTGCGCCCGAGTTTTTACTGCCTTCTGGCTTTGAACTGAATATTTTATTATGAAAAACAAATCTTTCTTATTGCACTTCAAAACGAGAATAAAATCTAAAAAAAATAAAAAAATGAACAGGGACAAAATAAGATTTCCTGTAGGTCCTGACTGGAGGTGAGCTGTGTGCTCATTTGTCATCCCAATCAAATGAGCAGACAGACATGTAATCTGACAGAAAGACTCTAGAGTTCAGATTACAGATAAGCTCTAAACTCTGTTTTACTTTGGCCAGGAGCTCAATATCACCTCAATCTGTTGATTAAATGAAAACGTACCTGATTGTCTGTGGAAACGCAGCCTTACAGTATTCACCTTAAGCTTTTTCAGAGTTTGTCACATTAAAACCACAAACTAATGTATTTATCGGGAATTATACCCAACTCAAGATTTTTGGTGCAGCAATAAAGATCTATAAAATGTGAGATGCGTCTGTATTTATTCTCCAGTGAGTCAATCCTTTGCAGAAACACACAGCTGCAAGTGGTTCCTGCCATTTCTTCACCAGCTTTGCACGTCTCATAATGGAACATTTGGACCATTCTTCTCCCATAGCTCAAGTCCTGTCACATTAAATGGAGAAACTTTGTGGACAATCGTTTTTATCTTGCCACAGATTCTCAACTGGATTTACGTCTAGACTTGAAATAGTCGATCTTTAGCAAATAAATATGCTTTGATCTAAAACACTGGTCTACACACCAGTCTGGCTGTAACATTCGGTCTTATTGTTCGGCCTAAGCCTTTTCAGCCTTCCAAGACAGTAGGCTGCAAAAGACTTTTGGTAGGTCTGTAGTTGTGCCATAACCTTTCCATTTTCTGGTTATAGAAAGGACGATTGTTTTACAACATATTCCTCCTAGAAACATCTCCACAGCTTCGTTCCTCACATTTCTGCTGTGTTCTTAGGTCTGCATTATGCTTTTTTTGTCACCAATGTTCTCTGACAAACCTCAGAAGGCTCCGACATACTTCATCCGGTTGATACAGCTCTGTGTGTTTCCGTATTTTAACATGCTTGGACAGCAATGTTGATATTTTGCTTCAACTAGTTCCACTATCTGGCTTTCGTATCCGCAAGAGACGTGAATACTTTTGAGAGGCGTTCATCTAACATGATGAGGAAATACCTATGTTTGTACGACTTTTCATGGAATAACTACTATAATAAAAAAGAACGATAAATGGCTAATAACTCGTGGATAAAAGCTGGAACGGATGAAGCCTTGAAGGTTTCACAGAAGTGCAGAATTTATACTAAGATTAAATTATACACATGTAGACCGACTACAGCTTCTTCAGGCAATCGTTTAAACAGGATGTCAAAGGGAATCAGAGTAAAGGGGGTTAATATGCATCCTCTTTATAATTTTTGACTACTTTGTTTTGGTCAGTCACACTGAATACCCAAAAGTTTGTGCTTATAGGACAACAAACGGTTAAAAACATCAAGTGGTATTAATACTTTAGCAATGTACTGTGAATAGGTAATGTATCTGGTCCTGATACTACAGCAGCAGAGTGAAACAAAAAGGGGCCACAAGGAAATTCTTGCCACTACTACTTGATCTTCAGCAGATAAAAATCCTGAAAACTACACGCTGCCGGGTGTCTCGTGTGTCTCTGAGCTGGACTGGACTGCACTGCTCTGCAAACAGAAAGGGTCACATTAAAACTTCAGGGTGTTTCTGTAAAGAGCCAAAAAGGCGCCTCTCGCCGTATCTTTTCCTTTTTTTTTGTTTTGTAGTCATCCGTATGTGCTCAACTTCTTCTCTTGTACAGTGATCCAACAAACACAAGCATCAACAAGCATAGGGACTGAGTGTTCCACGTTTGTGTTTCCTGGCAATAATACCAGTGGGAGTTTATTTTGTCCTCTTAGAGAAGCTGCCAAATATAAAAAAAAGGTTTATTTTAGTGAGGGGAGAAGTTGGGAAATACCTCCCTTTTCATCACGTTTACTAATGACACACCAGATTTCAATCAGAAAGTCACAGAAAACTAAATTCTCCCACTGAAGGAGGCTCTCAAAGGCAGGCAAGCACACAAAGACGTTTGGTAATTTGTTAAGAAGTTTCATTTCAATCTGTACCGGTGTGCTTCCTGTTTTGAACCTGGAGAAAAAGAGAGGAGTTTAAATTACACAATGTTTTAGATCTAAACTCTACAGGGAAACTAAAGGCTCACCCAGACACAGAGTCTGACAAAAGAGCGCTGCAGAATCAACAATGGGGAAATTATTTATCTTCTGTGAGTAAAAAGGAAAAGAAAAACATTTGGATTACGGCTCTGTATTAATGCTATTATGCATTCCGGATCAGGGTTGGATTTGAGGATTATCAGGCTCATGTGATCCTACCTTGTATCCCGTGTGGGTCCTGCTCTTTGCGTGCGGCGTGGCAGAGCAGAGCTCAATGGCCTCGGGCTCATGAAAGATCACCGTGGGCAGGGGCTCCTTCCTCAGTGTCAGCACGTTTAGCTTCGTCTTCAGCATTGTCTGAAAGTGCTGATGGAGAGAGGGAGATGAAAGCGGTGAGCTGTAGGCCAACTTCCAGTAAACCTGCTACAAGGTGGATGCGCGTCACAATGCAGAGATTAGGGATGAATGCTCCTTCAGGCAGGCGAGCGAGTTTTACTAGTTTACACCATGGCCACGGTCAAATCCAGCAATATTCCTGACTTATAAACACTAGGATCTGGTGTTCATTGTAATAATAAAAAGCAGCCAGTTTGAAATCTACCGCTTACATTTTAATAGGTGCAAACTGAAGATGAAGTCCTGAAGTAGGATTGGTGTGAGAAGTTTATTATGCCCCATGTGAAACGTGAGGAACAGATGAAGGGAGCCCCCCCCCCGATCCCTTCCTCTCTCCATTAAAATAACAGAAGCTGTATAATCTAATACTGCACTTCACTGCCAATGTTTCCTGAAGCCGAGCAGAACCAAATGCTCCATGTGGTTCGGTGCACTTGCAACACCGTGCAGTTCTGGGGCCTTCTCGGAGCGGTCGAAAAGTAAACCGAGCGTTTCCTGAAGGAGCCCACGCTGTGACTGCTCGAAGCTGTCGCAGCTTGTCCGTGGCTGTGAAACATGCCTGGCGCAGCTCATTCTGGTGGCTCCCGTGATCAACGGCGCAAGAGTTATAGCAGCTTGAGATTTATCCGCAAAGAAACCTGCAGATGATTGTTAAGTTACTGCAAATGAATATGCAACAAGTCAAATTAACTGTATGTGTTCAGATGTTCTAATGATTGGAGGGGGACTCACTGCCGTACAGTGCTGGGAAAGACTACTTTTTTTATTTATTTAAAATTATACACATACAAAGTAAACCAGAGAAAAAAATTTCAAAAAAATTAAAATTTTGATTTTTCTTTCATAAAGACTAAAAATGTATCAATTGATTGCTTTTTTTAGCTGTCGACGGATAGCTGTATTGATAACTTTGATGATGGCATTTGACACAAAATAATGTTTATTACTCGTTTCACAAATGGTGTCTAACAGTTTTACGATGCAAACCATTTTGAACTGCCTCATGCTGAAATGTGCTGTACAAATAAACTTGATAACTCAACCTGTCAAAGTGTGAAGTAGTATTTTTTAAAATAAAAATGCTAATATTATGCACATTTAGTGACTCTGTCAATATACCAGTTTAGATTATAGTAGGTAAGATGTTAAAGCTCTTGCAAAGTGATAGAAATATCATGCTAACAGAAAAACAGTGAGGATAATAGGGGTTAACAACAACCTGTATTATTATTGCAATTTATTTCAGCGTGCTTAATAACTTTGGAAACGGTACACTGTTTCCTCATGCTGTCACACAACATCGAATCTGTAAGCAAACCTTTTAACACCCATGTTCCTAATTAAAGCGCATCAGATTGTTTCCCCCTCAACTCAGAAATAATGATGAATTAAGGAGATAAATTTTCATATAACACCCTTAACTCCTAATAGTATTATTATTTTATAACATGTAATTAATTATATAATTTCACATACCCACATCTTTTCATTCATTATGGTTCTGATCCTCGTTTCTGATACATGGACAGTGTCCTAAACCCTTGGTCGCCCAAAAATGACCATATGTGATTTATTGGAGTCATATAACATTATTTTACAGTAGAACATAGAAAATGACTGCAAAACATCAGCAGAGCACCAAGGGAGGCTCAAAATAACTCATGTTGAGTACAAAATTACAAAATGCCCAGCGAGAAAAACTCCTTTTCATAAACTGGCCAAGAAAAAGAACAAAAGTGCAAAATAAAAAAAAAGCCTCAGGAGTAAACTGACTACCACTTCTCTTTTCTCTTCATTACCAATGTCTTTCAAGCCTGTCTTTGTTCCTGGCAAAGATGGACTTGGATGAGTTTCTGGCTAAAGCTTAAGCGGACCAATTGAAAAGGAGACCTGAGTGCATCATACTGTTATACTATATACTATTTATGAATCACTCCAGAGTCTGAAGCCATGCATCAAGCTTTATTACCCCTTCAAACTGTCCAGGAAACATTAAACTAAGACATTGGGATGAACTTGAACACCTTCCACTGAAAGGCAACTCGCAGAGATAGATTACCTTTCAGCCTAAAGTTAATTTGAGAACTCTTCCCAACAATTTGCATTGACGATAAAAACAACCTTCATTTTTGCAATGCGTCCCACTGCATGTGCTTTTCAGCAGGAGCAAACGGGAAAGGGTCTTTCTGTACTAGAGTTGAGCTCTAAAAAGAATAGTTTTATCCAACAGATGGTCGACATTCAGTGAAAACAGCCATTGCTGCCAAGCAAGGCTTTCATCAGCCCCACAGTGTTGCCTTTCAAAGCCAAAGAGAGAGAACCCTGATCAAGATAAGGAAACATATTTGGTGGCCACTCCCATGAAAACCAAAATATTTTCCTGCTTATCAACATCGGTTACAGTAAAATTACTCAACTTAGAAAACATGGCACTGTATTCATCTGCATTGTATTGGCTCTTTAATCAGATTTTAAAGGACAACGGCCTACAGTGCATCTCGCTACCTGAAAAGAAGTGAAAGAAAAAGCATGATGGACTTGTGAAAGTAAAGCCATATGTGTGGTAGGGCTCAACGATCTCCGCGACAGCACTTTACAGCTGCCCGGCAGTGGCTTGCATTCATACACTTGGACCCGGTTCGAAGTTGGGGGGGGGCTAAAAGGGCAATTTAGAGGGTGGTGCAGATAAATGGTCCAAGTCTAGTGCTGCTCTGGAATTCCATTCACAATATTTTCATTACATTTAAAATGTTTTCTTAATTTTATTTATTTAGTCCCCATAGTCTCCTCATCAAGTTACTGTGCATTTAATTGCATTTTTGACTTTTACTTGGCTCGTCTCCGGCATAAGACCGGCGAGGGTTAGGTTGGGTTGATTGGAACTGCTGTGGGACGAGACACATGTTGACACATTAAACCTTCTGCTGTTGTAAGACCACAACCCATTTCCAAACCGAAGGCCTCGTTCAAAAATATAAATAAAGTATTGTGTCAATATTGACACCCGAGCAATCATTAAATGGTAGGCTCAGCACATACCAGTTAAATGTTGGGTTTCAGTGAAATCCACATACTGAAATAAAATTCTGTAGCTACAAATGAGAGCCCATTATATCTCAGTGTAGCTGTCTTGGCTCTTTGCAGAAAGTGACACTGGTTACTGATGGACATAAGATGTCACTGACAAACTTTCTTTTTCTCGGTTTAGCCAAAATAGCCTTGGTTTGGTAAGTGACAGCCAGCTTCAACACCTAGTTTCTTCTAAGGTTCAAGGTTTACAAGCTGACATCTAAAAATAAAAAGTGCAGAGGAAAAAAATACTCTGAGTCTCATAGTAGAAACATGCATACTTTTAAAAAACAATGGCTTCAAAACGTAAAATTTCAACATAGCACCTTTGTGATTCATTGTTGTTTCAGTACAATGTCAAATAATCTGCCTGTGTGATAAGAGGGACCCTTCCCCAACCTATTGCTGTACAGTTTTGCTTATCTAGCTTGAAGAAAAGCATCAAAACTTTCTCCTCAGTTACAACAAACAGAAAATCAAAGTGTCATCAATCACTTCGTCTGGAAACAATTTTAAAACTAAAGTGTGATAGTTTAATGCCTCTACCACAGGCTGCACCTGAACAGAAAGTCCAACAAATTAATGAGCCATCAGCCAATTAAGACGTGGGTTGCCCTGCTAAGAAAATGTAAGGAAATGTACACAATTCAGTGCAGCTAGAATTTGTTTTTGTTAGTATTAAGTTAATTTGATAATTATATAGGCTGCATATGATTGTTTCAGTGTTTTGTGTGGACAGTTTGACAGCGCTAAACTACGGTGTTTTTGCTGAACATGAAACAGTAAGAATTTTATGAACGGCCGATTCCTAATATGCGGAAACGGTAATGCACAGAGTTTGATTTAAGGCTCTGATAAAACAGAAATATGATGCTGAGTTGAAGGAAAGCTTGAGTAAAAAGAAGGTTGGAAAACGGCCTGATCGAGCCAGACCAGTGATCTGTCAGGGACGCTTTATAGCATGTCAGTTATTTTATGACTAAGTGCTCACTTAATGAGCATTTACCTCATGGCGTTCGTCCAGTTATACAATATTAGCAAAAAAAAAAAAAAATGCTTGGCCAGACGTACATCCAACATTGCTGATTTATTTCTCACTCTAATCTCCAGCAATCTTATTATTGCTGAAAATCCCTAGTGTCAGACATAATGCAGTGTGCATTTTTCTGCCAAAGTCTCTTAAGCAAAACCGACTGTAAATCTGAAAACAAATGTAATTCAGCAATGTAACAACCACATCCATAAGAAATCAAAGTCAAGAGTGTTTTGTGATGTTTGCGTCCTGTTGTGACGGGTTTAACAGTTCACAGATGGCAAATTAAACTCAAAGCCCTCCGAGGCTATGCCTAGACAAAAAGAGGCTCTCAGGTCAATACGATGGGAAGGTACTCAATAAGAGGGTGAAAAACAGCCACTCAGCCTTACAGAGTCACGGTTAAAGAGACGGGATCGTGACAAAAGTGTAGGAAACAGCTGGAAATGATGTTAAGTCAGCCAGACAGATGTGTGTCTCTGAAAGCATGAAATTAGGAAAAAGAAAAAAATAGCCCCTCTTGATGCACAAACAGCTACTGGTTCATCCCAAAACCAAAGGAGCAATAAGTCATGTTCCACAGATTTGAAGATCAAAACTGTGGATAAACTGTAATATCAGGCTGTGTCACATGTTTCAGCAAAAAAGTCCAAACATGTGAAAACGGTTAGAAAGAACCAAGAAAAATGAGTCAGCTGTTGAAATTGTGTGGCCTGTTAGAAAGCATCAAGGCAATGTCTGTTTAGAACATGCTCAGAAAACATGAGCATGTTTTCATTCTCGGATGTGAGCACGCATTTGAGATTTAGGAAGCTGTACGACTAAACTCATTTTAATATCCCTTGACAAAAAAAAATTATAATAATAA